GTGGCTCAGTGGTAGAGCGTCGCACTCGTAATGCGAAGGTCGTGGGTTCAAACCCCATTCGGTGCATTGGGATCACTAACTTCCTGGGAAGTTGTTTTTGCGAAGCGCAACATTAACATTTTCTTCCCCTCCCGCTCGCCGAGTGCCGTATGAACCGCACTCGGCAACCAATTCGCCACAGATGCACTCGTGGCTCAGTGGTAGTAGCGTCGCACTTGTAATGCGAAGGTCATGGGTTCAATCCCCATCGGGTGCATGTGTCTTCTTCTTTTTGTGTTTTTGTCTCTTTGTTCCAGTGGCATGTATGCAACAGATTCCTACCCGCCTACCGTTTTTTCTTTCTCGATGTAGAGTTGTTTATGATCGACGGCATTAGACCGTCAATCTCGCATCATCGCCACGTGGTCGACGGAGTTGCACCCACGAGCTAGTAAACCCAACGACACCCGGCTCGTATACTGAGCGGCATCATCGAACACCAAACCAAAACGGTGAAAACCCATGGCATCAGAAACCCCTGCTCGCCAAACGCCTTCTCACCAACCTAATCCCCAACGTATCTCCCATCACGTCATCATACAACACCCCCATCATGAACCAGAAGACAACCAGACGCATCCACTGCATCAATCCCATAACCTATACCCCCCCAACAAAAAACCAGAGCCCAATTCTACGCCACGAAGCATCAAGCAATCCACACCAAGGGAGGTACCACGAGCTTACAACAATCAACTATCCCTCTCATCGCATGCCATCTTTTCTCTCTTCAATGTCTATGTATGCCCATGTGAACCTTGACATCATTCACTGTGCCGTGTTGTGCCCTATCCCTACCACCACTGAAGTAGATTTAAGTAGCCGAGACGGAAGACGCATACTGTACATACACAGACAGAATGCCCTACCCATCTTCCTCTCACAGGAGTCCGGAAGTTCTCCGGGGTAATATGGAGGCGTATTCCTGTCGAGCGGAGACGGCGGAGTGTACCTTTGCTGGGAAGTGCTGAGCAAGAGGTGGAATGGTCTATGTATTCTTGTGGCCCTGGACAACTGAACGCTTGCCATTCCGCTGGAGCGTAACCCCTCAACCACTGCCCGGAGTATTCTTCTAGGACAACATGGAGAGACGAGAAGGCAAGGATCCATTAATCTCTATAGCAATGCAGTCTGAGAGACTTCACAGGGATGTCGAAACCACCGAGTCTGAGAAACAATCGTCAATAGTGTGTAGATTGACTCTTCGTCTATTTTTACTAAACCTTTTAGAATGCGGCTCTCCAACTCATCAAGAGTTGCCAGATAAACTAGACCTATGACCCTGATGTCTATATTCTTTCCATGGCTCCCTAGCACGAGTAACCAAGGCCCGAGACTGCTAGCCACCTGGTAGCCAGCAAGCCGCCGCTGATAGTGAGTGACCATAATTGATACCAAAATCTAGTTATCCAATAGCTATCCGAGGAACGCTAAGATACACATCCACAAGCACAAGGGGAATCTAAGCCAGATGCCAAATTTTCAAGGAGCAAGGACGAGATAAAAGGGAACCTCCGCGCCAACAAATCTAGCCCTGGTATGTCAGGTCCGATCAATTATTACAGTATCTTCATGAAAATCATAGACGTCGAATCGAGAAGTCCCGGCGACACGAAGTCTCCTCGACTATAACGCCGTCCAACTCGGCATAGTCTGCCTTGTAGGGAAAGGTCGCTGTTGAAGCCCGTGAGTAGAGACAGCGGGGTCTCTCAATGTGGATGGAGCGGAGGCCTACTAATGCCTGGCTTCAGCCCATCGCGCCACCTCGGACCGTGCGTATAGTGGGATGCCTTCAGATGAGAGGCAATTTGGGATCGGTTGCAGTCACATCATGCCTCATGGTACGCCTGGGACGCCAGGAATGGCAGCCATTGGGCCTTTGTTGTTCCTGTCCATCGTACTCAGCATGTCCGCGAGCCAGTCGTTATCTTCGACCAGAGGAAAGGTGTCTGACACCGACAGGGCATCCGGGGGCTCTGAGAGCGCTGGAACCGACAGCGACGGAATCGAATTTGCCGCGTGTGAGCCCAGCGGAGTGGGATCCAGCTTGGTCTCCCAGCCCATGCGTACGGCCTGATACGTCTTGGCGATGTTTGAGAAGATGTCGCCACCAGGATCACCGTCAATACCATTGAGAGACGCCACTTGACCCATATTGGATATCACCATGTTCATGATCTGTATGATATCTGCCGTTCGGCGGACATTGGTCGTATCCCAAACGGAGTTGTCCAGGGTCGTCAGTTGGTAGAGTGTCACAAGGTTCTGCACCATCTGCGAGAAGATAGCGAAAGGAAACCCAATATACTCCGCCGGTGGAATGCTCAGGAACACGTCGAACCACGACTTGGTAGCCTCAAGGCAACCATAAAGATAGTCGAGATGTTCGTAGCTCACGTTTGTGATGGAGGCAATGGCACCTTTCGTAAGAGCGGACTCGTAAAGGCTTAATGAGGTGTTGTAGTGATGCAGTAGAAGAATCTCTGGACCAGATAGTCAGTGATCGATCCAAATCTCAGAGATCTAAAGGTTACTGACTGTATCCCTGTGAGTTGGGTCGGACTCTACTCATAATTCCCTGGAGTTGAGTCTGAAGCTGAGCTTGCATCGGCCGGATATACACAGCAGGCGACGGTCGCATCGACTCCCTGGATGTAGAGGACGCCCCATAGAAGCCCCCCAAACTAAGCTTGTCATTGATCAACTGAAGTCGTACTTGCTGAACGAGAATCTCATCGTTGATGCTTTCCTGCTGCTCTTCGAGTAGACGGAGACACTCGTCCATATAAGATGTCCAGCGCAGGGAGTCGCTTTGTTGTAAGAAGGTAGCAATGCTAGATTCGATGTTAGCATATAGCATCAACAGTAGGAAGGGCGATAGCATACATTGAAGTGAGCAGGAAGCATCCCAGGACAGCCCGGCGTTGTTCCATGATCTGACTGGGAGGTGCTGCGCGGTCTTCGTGTGCTTCCGTGTGTACACACAAGAGTACGTGCTTCCCCTTCGCTTCGGGATTGAAGAGACCCATCTCATAGACAATGCCGTTCGCGAGCTGAGTGAATACATGCACGTTGGCTTTATTGTAAACTTGCTGATTGGACCTGAGCCAATCGAGGTCAGCCACCCATAAACCCGGCCTGAGGCGGGGTGCCTTACCATCCGAGGTAGATCAGGAGTCCCTGAAGGATGTCAAGGTCACGACACGTGTACTCATGCACCAGCTTCTGTGACACAATGTGCTTGATTCTATCGAAGAGCGGGCGACTTTGCGCGCTGCTCCGGGACGTGACAGCCATGATGCACAGCCACGAAAACGGGCGGTCTCGCCGAAGCTTCTGCGACGTGGTGCCTGGAGGGATATACATGCATGGGAAATAAGGAAGCATTTGAGTTTGGAAGAATGTGAGTAATTCCTCTGCTTGCAAGCCCGACGGCTCCATCGCGTTCAGTGACGATGCGCCCGAAGATAACGAGCCCCCGCTGTCCGAAATGCTAGTGTCCGGGGTGGAAGCGGAACCGGTGTTGCGGCTGGCGTAGACTGGGCTGGGTCCGGAGCTGCTGCCCATGGGGATGTCGGACATGTTGGGAGGGGATGCGGCGTTGCTGTTTGACGAGTTCTGGTTGTCCGGCAGCTGTCCGAGCAGGCCGAGCATGGTGGTGGTCGTGACATTATTCGGTTGGACTCCCGCGCGCAGCAGCGAGACCAAATCCTCCAGTTTGTCTTCCAGGCGAGAGATCTTGGCCGAGCTTTTGGAAGAGGTAACCGACCTGCGCGTGGTTGAACGTCGACTGGCAGCGGATTGGCGACATTCTTTATCCAAGCGTTGGCATCTGAAGGAAAGAGGATGGTTAATGCCACCACCTTTGAACAAACAGATGCATGTATGCACGAGGTCGGCGAATGGGATAAATTAAGCTGACCTCTGGCAACGACCGCCTGCCTTGGGATAGATACACTTGCACTTGGCTTGAGAGCAGTTAAAGCAAGAGCGACCGTAGGGAGCAGGGTAGGTGTCTTCCTGAGGCGAGTCGTGATCTACGGCGATAGGGACGGGGTCGGCCACAGCCTCGCCATTTATACTGTTAGTTGTCGAGGCCATTTGACCGGTTGAGTGGCGTTTTATTTTTCGCCGCGTTAATTCCTTCGCACAGTATACAAAAAAAGAAATTAAGAAATCAGATCACAGTATCTAGGCTGAAAGAGAGGAAAGGAAAGGATGATGTTGATCATCAAGAAGACATCGAGAAGGAGGAGGAGGAGTTTGGTTGTGAAAGGGAAAGGAAGTAGTGGAGGTGGTAAGATTGGGATTGCGGGCGAGTTTCCAGGCGGCCGACTAAACTACAGTTAGGCTAGAGTCAGAGTCGGTAGACTACTTAGTACTAACCGGAGGGGAACGGGGAGGAACAAGAAACCTTGAAGCCAGCCCATGCCCACCAACCCGCCGATTCACCAACTCGGACTTTGCCAACTCCGAACTTGTTCTAGCGTCTGTCTTACCTACAGGTAAATCCATCCTGTCAGCACTAGCCTCATGGCTTCCATGGAATATCCTAAACCATATTTATTGACTGCATACATAGGGAATAACGAGGTCAATCGGAGACAGCCTTTATTTGTCCCCTTTCACAAACATGCGGTGGTTAATCGGACTACTGGCGGTAAAAGCCGGGCATCCCCCACGACTACCTACTCAAGGACCCTGTGTAGCAGGAGCCATATGGCTCGATAACCTAGTCAAGGCCCCTTGTACATCGTCTCAACCCAAGACTTGCCGCCCCGCCGGTATATGCAGCGATTGTGTGGTTGGTACGGTGGGCGGAGGCTCGATCTGATGGTGGCTAAGGCGAGTTCGAGGGTGGAAGGATCAGTCGCTCCATGCCACGCCTTACTTCAGGTGGGTGAGTCACCTGTCAATCCCTCTGTCTTGAGGTACTCGTGAAAGGTAAAGGATTTGTAGATTAACATCCTGAAGAAAGGCGCGATTTCACTGCACCGCAGGAAAAGGCCAATTGTCTTCCTGAAGTGAGACGTTGTCAGCATGTCAAACTGTAATGGAGGTCGACTTCCGCGTGGCACGGCAATCATTATCAGGAGACCCCCGGATTGCGGAATCAGCTTGACTAGAGCTGAGTGAGCGACTGCTTTTACGTGACCCATCCGCAATCCTAGATGGGTGGGTAGACCGATTCCTGAAGAGCTGCACGATAAGGAGGGGGAGGGGGTATGGTGGGGGGATGCTGAATGGTAAACGTCACGGTGGGCCGCCCCATGCACCACAACTTGCACTAGACGGTAGTTGATACATCTGTGCTTTCCCATCTAGTGTGAATTGTACTGTACCTAGTACTCCCTTGCTGATAGCTCATGTAGCCCTTCACACCGGCCGAAGGGGCCGTTCTGGCATTCCACACGTGGAATTGTTGGACCATGTCTTTCCTCGTTGAACTCTCGGACTTGGTTCGGACTGAATTGAGAATCATTTTCCAGGACGACCTAATGATAATTGACTCTGGCAGCTAGCTTATAATGAAAACAACTTACTTTGAAGACAGGGCTAGTTAGTCCCATTCGTAGAAAGGATGGAGGGATCACAGTACCTTGTCGATCTTCTCAAGCTGGCAGCGCCTGCTACTCCAATCACAGCTACTATATAGTTCAATGGTTGTGAGTGAACAGAACCTGCTACCAATTCAAACCAATGCTGTGTGCCAACCAGTCAATCAGTCAATCAGCGAAAAGGATATTTATGACTTCGTGGTAAATGAACAACCTTGTTGGTATTCCATGATAACAGCCTATCCACTGGTGCACCGCCAAGCCGGGTCTTTCACTAACCCGACAACAGCCTCATTGCCACGGTGAATCAGCATTGATGACTGTACGGATAAGCCATCTATGCGCAAACGAAAAGGAAGAAAAGGACGAAAGGGCAACCAGAAGGTCCCCAAAGCAGAAGCAAGGCAGCCCGATGGGACAGGGATCGGCGAAAATACGAGCAAGTCCCCATTGCCAAGCATGGCCAGGGCATAGGTATCTAGCTGGACTGGCGGGTCAGAGTCGGAGGATTCACAACCTTGAATATATGAGACAAAAAGGTGGAACGGTCGGGAGGGGGGGTTCGGTAACACCGATTGAGATCTGGAACTAGAGCACGTGCTGGGTTGGGCTGCCTCACTGGTGGTGGTAGTAGTAGTAGTAGTAGTAGTAGTAGTAGTAGTAGTAGTAGTAGTAGTAGTAGTAGTAGTAGTAGTAGTAGTTGTAGTACAAAAGAGTACAACTATATACGAGCTAAGTAAGTAAATACGCACAGAGATAAAGTAGGCATGTAATTATATTAGCGGTGGTGCCAGGGGGCGGAAGGAGCTTATGATTGTCTCATGCTGTGCATCTTCAAACCACACCTTCGTTATATCCATACTCAAGAAAGTCAAGTTACGCCCTTAAGAACCGCTAGCAGTGAACTTACCGTGGCAGTGGATGTTCCGTGGTAGCAGAAACATGCGTAGAGACAGACTTACACTGTTCTCCAACCTTGCAATGCTCCGTCATAGGAGGGAACAATAAAGGCAACGAAAATCGGCTACAATCTGCGGACGACCGGAAGGGCCTTGCTATTTTAATTCCTTCATACCCTACGCATCCACCGGTCCACCTTGAAAGTTGTTGAGACAGCAGTTTCCACAATATCAAGACCTATCAAGCCTCTCATTGGCCAGTTCGCTAATGCTATCCTTCTTGCAGACTAGCACCTTGCTGTAGCTACTAAGTACGTAGTTCTTCATGTACGTACTACTTACTAAGAGTAGCGTGAATTTATGCACGCTGCGATGCTTGCCGTCGCGACCGACCTAGTTACCTTATCTGAACAATACTATGGCGCCCGCTAGACGCGAAACCTCCACCACCAGGATCGATGACTGGAAACTGAACAACTGGCTCTTTTGACTGGCATGGCATACTAGTCACCAAGCACGAGTCCTCATTTCCATCGCACAGCGATACAAACCTGAATGGAAGTCGCACAAGGCCGGATCGGGCCGAACCGTTGTCAAGGAGATCCGCAGACTGGCATCAAGATTCGAGAGACCCGCCAGCGACACCTAGACTCTTGAGGTGACACTGCGCAAGTTGTGGGGATGGGGACGCAGAAAGCCTGTGCTCGCTTCTGGATACGAGATAGCAGCAGGTTGGGAATGAATGGAGTTCCGGTTCCTTCCGACTATCATGAGAGATATTCGCGATGGTGTTAGGATGTTGAGCACTTCACTTCGATCAACAGGAAGAGCGGCATCCTAGATGAAATGAACATAAGATAAGTCAATTTCCTACACAGAGGCATGACAAAAAGGACACGGCTGACTGTCGCCATTCGTAGGTTCTGTGATTGGTGCATTCTTTCTTCCGCCAACAACTGAGCCTCAGGCCCAGATTGAGTGAGTGTGCGAGATGAAGTTGAAGGAGGATCCAGAAGTCTAATTTCGCTTAATCTTACCAACTGCAGTGCAATCCTCACCCCATTCCAAAATTAGCTGTCAACGGTGCGCGAACCTCGTTACTGGATCGCCACATGGTTAGGTCTAACGCAGATGGTGACAGTCTGACAGATCAACGGCTGCTTACCTGGTTCACTTATCGTATCTTGCGGGCTAGTTTGGAACCTCGTACTCAGCAAGTTAGATTAAGGCTCTGATCAACCTTCGAGACTAGTGTGCAACGTGCGTGGATTAGTCTCGTAGTGGCTTGATCTCGCCCCAATAGGGGCCAGCGGCGTAGAATTTACCTTGACACGCGAGGGCTGACGAATACCACCTTAATATCGCTAAAGTTGGAAGGAAGAGAACGTTATCGCTTCTCGCACAAAAGACCACCGGAAAGAGGGGGGAGGCGCTTGTGGTTGTAACCTTGCGCGGAGGGATATTTTATGGTTCTGTGGTTCTGGGAAACCATGGTTGACTACCTAGTAGTGTAGTATCAACCCATTTACCCGGGATATTTACCCGCAGAGATTCGATGCCTGGCCAGGCTGGACTGGTCGTAGCCCAATGTGACGTCTGTCCCGACGGTTCAGCGAAATTCAGCACGTTAGACTCAATCCTAGGTGTCTAGTCGCAATGCTAGCCTTTCTGGAGGTTAACCACTTTATCATATGGTCGGACCCACTTTCCGACAAGACACTAGCCTAAACTGACAGGCAATGTGTGTCAGTTAGCGTTGGCACCACGGGCCAAAGAGGGTGGATTTGGGACCCGAATTATATGTACTCACAGTCAGAAAGCACATTGAAATCTAGCATCTTGAGCAGTCACCTCGGCGAACCTGCAGTAAAGCTTAAGTCGCGATCGACATGCTCGACCCCCATGCGTGAGTGGTTGCGTTCTCGTGTATTCCAAACGGCATAAGCACAACACTTAACTACCTGTCTAGGCTCGCTTGCCCTGGACGTAGAACATTCCAGTTATTCGAGGCAATCAATACCTGCCCGGTCAGAATCTATAGCACGTGCAATTATGCGTAACGTGACATTGGCAAAATGGCCTATAGTAGTCAGCCACATAGACTAGGATTTCTTGGGTTGCGTACGCCAACACAGCCCTCCGTAAGCACTAAAGCTCAATTAAGATACGTTCTTTTGCTGTTTCGAGGGGTGCTTACCGAAGAGTGTTTCACCCTGTAGAGCCTCATCTGAAGGCTGCAGGATTTCGTGGACCAATATCCGTATGTGGAACCGACTCGAGGCTTTAGAGTCGAGTGGTCGCTGTAGACAGCCCCGCACCACGCAACAAGCTGGAAAGTTGCGTTATTAAGTCGTGGAGAACAGCCTATCAGCGTTTGCCTCGAGGTGAGCACTGACCGCTCAGCAAATTTCTCCATGGAGTGGATCGGCATGTGTTTTCTCGGGACTGCTACCGTGAAGACTTGGCCTTGACATCTATTTCCGAGCATGGGGGTCAGATTCAGGAATGCCATTGCTCCGTGCAGTCACCACGGTGCTTGAATCTGCTCAAACATGCTTCTCAATTGCTAGAGGCCTCAAGTGAATTGCACGGGTGAATGAACCTCCGTACCCGAGAAAGGAGACTGTTCTCCATTCGGCCAACTTCCGCGCAGAACTTGGAAAGGAAGAGCGGGAGGCGCCAGGAGGCCCGGCCCTTTCAAGCCTTCAAGCCACCAATGCTCCACGGAGAAGTGCGCAAAGCCGCGGCCATCGTTTCATTCGCCAAGCCCAAATGCCAAGATCGTATATTAACCTCCTTCGAGTGAGTGCATACAACAGGTGACGCTTTTCCCTTCGTGGCACTTTAGCTTATCGCTTAATATGCTCGGGTCTTATCCAGTTTAGTGCTCAACCTAGCCGGGTTGTCGGAACGCCGAGATGAAAATCTGCACGCTGCAGCAATTGTCTGTCATGTACGGAGTACAAAACTGGAGATTGCCAATATACTTGCATCTGCCTCGTAATCTGCAACAATGTTGTCATCTGCAGCAGCAGTGAGGTTGTGCTGGTATGCTGCCCGACATGTAACTCAAACCCGAAAGTCACCTTGATCGCAACGCCTCCGTGCCTTTGTAAGTATGCAAATCAGCACCACACCACGCCGATCATACGAGAAACAGATCAAACGCCACTTACGCACGTAAATCAGTAGAAAATCTGCCTTCAAACCGGCAAAAGCCCCCCCCCCCCCCCATCTCTCTCTCTCTCTAAATAGAGGATTTAGCCGTGAGAGTGTGAGTTCTGGGTGGGCTAGTAACCTTCAGCCTCGTGGGCTGTGACACTACAACGGGGTCGACTAAAGACCCAGTGGCCTAATCAATTGGGACGGACGGACAAGCCGGCCCGCCGAAAGATCGATTCCCGGCAGCCGAGGAGGAAGATACTCAGTAACTTAGAAGGTGGGAGTCGGAGTCGGAGCCATCGCATCGTCCGTGATCTTGTTGGACAACGATCTTGGCGCATGGATCCTTCCCGCTTGGCGTCACGCCTGTCAGAAACACTCTACCACTTTGCCATTCTGTCAAGCGATTTTCGAGAGACAACCCAACGCGCAAAGGTACGGTATCTTCCACCGAGCGCCGCCCTTGGCAAATCTAACAGGGTGCCTTAACCTTCAAGGTCTTTGGTCGGTCAGCTTGTGAAACCCGTGCAACAAACGTTCAAATAATGCTTGCTTGCTTTCTTCACCGAGCGGGCTGACCCAATACAGCCTCGCGATGGAGAGAGAAATCAGTTTGAGAATGGCACCGCAGCAGCAAGCGGCTTCCCAGGGAATTACGTACTTCCCGCCATGATTCAGAGAAAGGATTGCCCCAGGATAAGTTCCAGGATTCTTTAGTCAGAACCCACTAAGACACATTTGACAGGTTGTTATTGGAGCCCCAATCGATTCGCAGGACCTGCCAAATCAATGCTAGCCCGGTATCGTCACGGCGAAGCCAGCGCCATCCGAGCTGATGATTCGGCGATCTCCGCTTGCTCCGATCCTGACCTGCACAGACCCTTATTTTTGGCTTTTCGAGCCGAGGAGGCTCGAATTGGGTGACATTGCAGACCCAGTAACAGAGAAAAATCGCGAAAAGAAGGGTGAGGGGCAAAGGCAGGTTATCCGGGATGAGGAAGCTGCCTCTGTCGATCATCGCTATCAGACCAGTCGTGAACGTGGGATCGGTATTTCTGCGTCCCCAGACAGATCGTCTAGATCCTCCTGTATCCATCAGTCATCGTCAGCCATGTGTCCACGCGGAGAAAAAATAGAATTTGGGGAAAGTGAGA